AGAACCTTAGAGCGTACTTTTGCTTGCAACATTTTTTCGCTGTATTTGTTTAAAAGAACGTTTGTTCGTGCAACTGAGAGAATACGATCAGATTCTAGAAGGCCCACTGTGCTTCGCTGACAGGTTTAGTTTTCGTCAACACATCAGATGACGGATCGTGAAATTGAGTCTCCAGTTTGCTCCCGATTGCTCCAGCGCATTGAGCTTGACGTTTGCACTATAGTGGCTCTTTTGTCCATGCTGGGTGTCAAGCTCAAGTGCCAGGACGACAAAGTAAGTGTCCAATTCACTTTTCACTTGCTGGCACACAAGCACATCAATCTGCAACTCTGCAACTCTGCAACCTGTGATAAGTTGGTGATCCCATCTGTTGCAACACCTATGTCGAACCCATACCTCCGCCCAGCTAACAGGTAGCCTATCTCAAAATGGTCGCGCGTGTCCAGGCTCGAAAGCAGCGTTCTTCACCAGTTTGCGTGCTGCTGCTGCAACTGCGACCGACTCCAGCTGGTCGCCGTCAAGTGTGGCGTCCTGTCCCGGCTTCTTGCAAACTGTAAGCAAGCAAACTGCACCAGTGTCCTCAAAATTGTGGCTCTCTGTCGTTGTGGAGCAAAAGAGTTTGCTGACACGTTGACGACGTGCCCAGCGCTATTGCGCTGACCATCAGCGTGCTGTCCATCAAGGCCTTGGCAGCGCGGTTGCGCGCGCAACCTTTTCCCACAAAACCTTTGAGCCCAGTTTGAGGGGGGATGTTGTAGTTGTCTCAGCTGGTTTGGCTCCGGTAACCCAGCCTGCAGGCTGCAGGGCTTGAGCCTTTCAAAACCAGGCTCAGCTCTGAAACTGTTCAGTTGCCTGCTTGGAGCTTTCTCTGGGCTTGTCCATCCATTTTGTTCGAGCTGAAGCAATGCTGCTGTTTGTTGACCAATTGCCCTGAAAGGGCTGTAATGTTTTTTTGCCAGGCAATGCAGAAATCCCATTTGCTCTTGTAACCCCCACATATGAGTGAATAGAGTCGAGCAAAGAAGCTTTGCCTGTGACCGCAAGCCAATGGCCCACACAGGCAGAAGAGCTTGAATGTATTCCTGTCACTTGCAGGTCGCATGATTGGCGCATCATTGAAACCGTTTGGTGCATATCGTCGTGGCTTTGTGAGCAGGCGCCAGCGGAAGAAGAAAAAACTTCCCCGCCAGTGCTGTAGTTTGGCCAACAATTTTGCTAGCGCGGCAATAGTCACTTGCCAAAGCAAATGTTGCTGAGTCTCTTCGAGCCCTCACTTGCTCGAAGGTAAGCCTTGTCGAGTTTGCTGGGGCCAGCTCCCAGCCTTGCCATTGCGAGGAACGACCAGAAGTGATGACGCGACCAGATTGAAAGGTTGCAGCAGCAGCAACACTTCGGCCTGAGTGGTGCTGGACACATGCTGACCACGCGCACGGAAGCAAAGCTGGACTCAGTGACAAAGCCATGCTCCAATTTCATTCTTTTTGTATATGGTGCGATGATTGTTGCAGCGCAGCTCCTGCAGTGTGCGTCGGGACCACGCGCAAGAAGCTAGCTCCATATTGCTCTTTCAGCGACCGAGTGCAGCCAACTAGCCCACTAGCAAGGTCCGTGTTTTTGACTTCAGTTGCCTTGCAAGGTCACAAGGTCCGTGAGGAACAGTGTCATTAGTGACCATTGTATGAAGTGCTGTTCACAGCGTAGAACTTGATATAACTTTATACAGTATCGATTTGGGTCAGCTTTGATTCTTTTTCGTTCTTGCGAGAAGCTCTTAACGCAACCCAGCACTTGATCAGGGCCCAATGAACCTGTGTGAACATCTTGACCTAGTCACTTCTCTTTACCTCACCATTTCTATGCCACTCAAAAGAACCAGTGAGCGTGGAACTTGAATTTAGCAGAGAAGTGTTTTCTTCTGTGAAGTATGCTTTGGGACAGTATGCAAGCGTGAGGCTCAAGAGCAACTCCGCAGCAAAGAAATAGTCGCAAAACGTGTTTCAATAATGTTCTTGGGTGGCCAGAAGCATCTCTGCCTCCAGTGATCAAAGGTTGTTTACGGCTTTGCAATTAACCAGCAAGACTTGCGCAGCGGCATCTTTCTACCCAATGGGTGCCTTCGACATGTTTGCCTGAGGCTACATTTGCTGTGGACACATTGCTAGCGCACAAGGGTGGACATCAAAACAGTCGTTGACTTTATTCCAGGTCTTCGGAAAGTTTGCCAGTGCCAACATCTTTGGTGTTCCTGTTTGTGGAATCGTTTTAATTTCTAGTGCCCGTTGCCGTTGAGATTCTTGGTATGCGCGCACTTTTCGTCGCGGTCATTTTTGCAGCACCCTCCTGGGGAGGGATGAGACCCCAAAGTCCTTGACCTCACTTTTCCACTTCAGTGATGAGACAAGCCCTGAGTCGACGCACGCAGAACAATGTATTTTCCGCAGGCCAAAATCAAAAGCGCCTTCCGAAACGGAGCTTCCGCCGCCAAAAAGATTTGACAGTCCTTTGGACACACAGCAGACCAGGGCCTACCAGATCGTCTCGGCGAGTTGTACTTGCATGGATGTGTTGAACCTTTCAACTTCTTAGCAAGCCAAAATCTGTTCTTTTGTTGTGCCTAGGCTGCTTTCGCTGAAGCGTGTTTTAGAGTGTTTTAGGTCATTGACACATGCTTGCCAGTTTCATATCGGGCGGTTGGTTTTGGCAGACGCTCTGAAACTCGAAGCAAGCAACTCCTTCAGTCTTTGCCGCTCCGAGGTTTTTTGCTTCAGACTTTGCGCTGCAAGGAACCTGTTTCATCGTGAGTGACAGTGTTCAAGCTGAGTTTGCCAGCGACCCTGCGAAAGACTGTATCCAAGTACCCTCTTGCAGCGCTAAGTCGAAGAACCACTCTGCAGCCAAAACTTGTGACAAGGCCGTGTACGCAGACAGTGCCTAAAGAAGAGAGCAAGAATGGAATTTCAGTTCTTCTCTTGCAGCCTGCCAGTTTTTGCAAGAATAGGCTAGAGCCAAGGTCCTCACGCATGGCAGGGCATTGCCTTGTGCTTTCGTAAGCAAGGAAACACTGGCAGGGTTTAAACCTGGTGCGATGATGCGTCTATCCGCCCCAACAGTTGGACATTTCTTGTAGATGAGTTCAATTGCCATCCACCGAACAGCAAGATGCATCTCGACAAAAAGTCTGCCCAAGATTCGTCGCATCCCCCAACACGAGGCAAGTGATTATTCCGCTGTGACAGTGCAACTTTCGCACCCAAAGGATCTATGAGCAAGATCTTGTGCCAGCTTCCTGCGCCAGGGAGTTTCTTATTGTTCGTGACGAGAAGCTTCTGCCCTAAGAACGAAAACTGAAGCAAGTGCCGTTTTCATTGCACCGTTGTGCAGCCTAGACTTTGAGCAAGCTAGCTTCCTGCTTCATTGTCAATGGGCCCGTGCCGGCCTAGGCGAAGTAAGGACCAGGCAGCTCGCAGTGAAGCAATTTGTCTCCAGAACGGGTTTGAGACCGTTTCTCAAGACAAGCCTCCACTCTGTGTTACACCCTTCCTGTCAAGTACAATCTCTAGTGACAAAATCACAACGGCAAACTGCTGAAGCGATCTATACTTCCCTTCATGAAATTGCATTGTCTCAGCGCAGAAGGCAAGTTTCGCATCCGTTGTCAGTGAGGATCTCTGAGCGAGGTCGCGGGTTGGCTTCCTGCGTCAGGGTTTGCTTGTTTAGGACGGAGGAGCTGCTGCCTTCAGAACAAAAGCTGAAGCAACCGCAGTATTCATGACGCCGCAGTGCGGCTGTAGATGAACACCAGAAGTTCTCGCTCAACATCTGCGCGTCCACCGTAGGCTTTGAACAAGGTTGCTAACACCGGCTTCCTGCATCAGGGTCAATGGGGTCGCGCCGGTCGCCAGCGTAGGCAAAGCCAGAGGTTCAGAGGGGCAGTCTTGGATGAAGCCATCTGCCTGCAATTTGATACGCGTGGTTTGGAAACCGTCGTGTAGAACTGTAGAACCTACTATAGTCTCAAGCCTGCATTCTGTTCAGAACGGGGACAAGACGTTGCTGGGTTAGCGCAAACATGGCAGCCAGTGCGCCCGAGGTGCTCAGAACTTTTCAAGAAGTCCAATCGTGGAGCAGGAGTTCTTTCCAGTATGCGGCTGAACTTCAGCAAGCAGTTTTGTGTGCGATGCCTTTTTCCGCCCCGACAGGTGGACATTGCTCGTAGATGAGTTTAATTGCCATCCACCGAACAGCAAGATTCATCTCGACAAAAAGTCTGCCCAAGATTCGTCACATTCCCCAAACACGAGGCAAGTGATTATTCCGCTGTGACAGTGCAACTTTCGCACCCAAAGGATCTATGAGCAAGATCTTGTGCCAGCTTCCTGCGCCAGGGAGTTTCTTATTGTTCGTGACGAGAAGCTTCTGTCGTAAGAACGAAA